GAGGAAAGAGGATATGGCAGTCAAGGTATTAAACACAGTAATTTGGTTTTGTGAAGATGGTTTTAACAATCTTCCAGATCTGCCATTGATTTCTCGTCCAAATTAGAATGCATATTAGCGAGGTCTTTGAATATAATTTTTTTGAAGTGTTCTTATTCTGCTAATTAGACAGTTTCTACTGTCTGTGACCTCACAAAGTAGTCTTGATGCTTTATTAAAGCGTTTTAGTTCTGAGTATTTCCTTTGAAGTGAAAGATTTTCGTTAAGAATTAAAAATTAAGGATTTGAAAAATGTAGTCTGGAATTGACAAAAGGTTGAAATTTAGTGTATAGAAAGCATGAAAATAGCGACAATGCTGTTTATTCAGTTGGCAGTTTTCTTCCTTTACTCATCCTTGTTCGAAGGTTTCAAACTGGTTGAAACTAAAATAACTGAGGATGGGTGCTTTACTCTAAACATGTTTTGATAGCATGAGATTTAATAATTAACAAAATATTTCCAGTAAAATAAATAATTTGTTTTATTGAAACACTGTCAGAATGATGATAAAGGTAAAACTTACCTAGAAATGGGAAGTAATCTGTCAACACTATTACTATAGTTACTATAGTTATCAGACCATGTCTATATATGGTAACGTGTCAATTAGCATTTCATATTCTCATATTGATGTCTTTAATGTCACACAAAAATACGATTACAATAACACAAACTCTGTCCTCTGATAATGTTGAAGGTAAAAACTTACCGTTTAACAATCTGTAAAAGAATGAAGTGCTAATTAAAGCACACCCCGAAGCTTCAGCTGTCTATAGTATTTAGTAGTTTTCTGTTTTGTATCCAGCTTTCATAATCTAAGTGTAGGTGAGAAAGAAGGAAATTTATTTCATTAATCCCTTTCCATTTTCCATATCCAATCTATGAAAGATTGAGGTGCAAATTAACCAGATATAAAAGCTGTCTTCAGTAATGTTTTCTCTTCAGTAACCTGTGACAGATTGGTGTATGATAAACTAGCATGTCTTTCTAAAACAGATAACATCAATATGATCGTTAGTGATTCTATCAGGTTTTATTCCATTCTTTTAATTCACTCTCAGATAATATGCATTCAGTCTGTGCTGTATTTAATTTGTCCATCTCATCACTACAGTTTTCTAGTACACTCACCAGGAAGACTTGTTGTTAATGATTCTATCAAGGTGTGTTCTTGTCTATTATTTCATGCTCAGATAATATGCATTCAAATAATTTGTTCGACACATCACAATAATTAGTGAGCTTTATATAGTTATCTTGTACATTGAAATAATGACCACATAGCTTGATTGTTATTAGTGATTCTATCAGGCTCTATACTTTTCTTTTATTCCACGCTCAGATGATATGCATTTACATCAGTATTGTTTTGATGTGTTAATCCAACATATCACAAGTTATCACATCACAATAGCTAGTGAGCTCTGTGTGGTTATCTTGTACTGTTAGTGATTCTATTAGGGTTGGTTCTGATCTTATAGTCCATCTAAGATAATATGCATCCAGTCAGCGTTGTATTAAATTTGTCCAACATATCACAATAGTTACTGAGCTATATCTAGTTATCTTGTAATCTGACTAGTACACATTGTCTACTGACTGCTTCCCTACTAAATAGATCACCAATTTGTCAATATCTGTCAAGTGCCTTTATTGGCTGGAACTTCCCCATTTACCTGATTACCATCAACTCTTTTCAACTAATACTGTTACTAGAAAAACACTGGGTACTACAGAAAATGTTATTAACTCTTAAAGGGACACTGTTTTCACTTAATACCAAAACTACTAAATCAGGGTATTACAGAAAATTATATTAACTCTTAAAGATTGATTTAACAATCCAGATTTTGGATTTCCATTTTAAAGGGTGTTAACCATATTACTGTCAACATGCTCCGAGGAAAATCTAGAAAACAGTTGATGCTACAGATATTTGAAATATTTAAAGTGATGCTATCTTTGTTATTCCTTTCCTTGACACCAAAACAGTTGGTATTACATCAATGCATGAAGGAATAGGTTCTCGTCAACAAACACCCAAACTAGAAAATGGTTGGTACCACAGAAAAGGATGATGCTGTCATCTAACTATCCAATTGATCAGCTGGTAATGTTGTCAAGAGGAAATCTTCAGTTAGATGATAAAAAAGATCTGGATAATCTATGTTATGATTTCAGTAATGAGTCGTCCAGACATTTATGGTGCATGTATTTTGGAGTATAACAATTAATAGTTGAAAATATTGAATGAAATTGGATAGAAGCTGTAAACTCTTTCATCGAGTACTGGTTGTATTTAATTATCAGACAATGAAGATGTCAGAATTTATTGCTGATAATTGATGCATATAGCTTAACAGGAGTTCTGTATATTACAGATTTTTAGTTTGAAAAGTGTTACGGGTGAGGTGGATGAAATTGAATTCTGCTGCTTGTTAAAACACAGTATATTACAGATCTTTTTTCGGAAAGTAATACAGGTTGCTGTAATTGAATTCTACTGCTTGGTAGAACACGACTAGGTGACTACATCCCTTTAAATAGTCAAACTGAATAAACAAACTCTTCAGGAAGGAGTTTTGTTATTTAAAGACTGTAAAAAAGAAGTGGAGGTTAGTGGCTAATGATGTGGGAACAGTCTCTGGAAAACTGGGATGTCTAGAAGAAATCACAAAGAATCGGATTGATTATTTCCTATTTTCAATGTCAATAAAACACGTAACAAGATTTGTCAAGCGTTCTATTTTTTACTCTTCTCATTCAGATAATTGAATGTAATTGATGTTTGTCGAAATAGGTTAAAACGAGAAAAAAATGATAAGTCTTTCATCTACTCTGACTTTGATTGGCGTAAATTTGGTCTATTTGGTATTCCATATAATATAAACTGTCAGTTCCATTATTGAAATGATAGAAGAGAAGTTCTATTATTGAAATGATGGAAGAGAATAGCCGGATTCAAAAGATACCACTTACAAAAACATGGAAAATGTCTGATTTTATATGAAATTACAGATTGTGATTAAAGGCCTTAAGTGGTAAAGCACATTTCGCGATTATTAATGTCATCAAACACTTAGTTTTTGTGGAATTGCAGGAACCACAGATGTCTGACTGAAAATTGGAATGGTGTAAATTGATTCTATCAGTGTCCCTGGTACACATACAAAATTTAGAAAACCTCTTTACAATCCATTTAATTCTACAAGAAATATAAAGATAAGCTTCCCGTTAGCAACTATGGATAATTTCAGTTTATAATATGAATCTGCTGTAACTACGGTAATATTATCTCTATCAATCGGCAATTATCCAGTCCAGCTTTCAGAGTCTATTTGATATTTGAAAATACTCATGTTCATTATCATCAAGTATCGTTAAACATAATCAAATGTACTAGTTCTCAGATATATCATCATGCCAGCTCTAGAAATTTACATGTCCTCAAGAGCCAGTTGCAAGGGTCAGTAATTCCTTGTGAAGGAAAACTATTTTTTATGGACAGAGCATAAGTGTCATTGGTTTTTTGGGTAAGTTTATCCCACATTTCAGTCAAAAAGTTATATTTAACAAAACTGTAATCCAGTACTGACTTGCCAGTGTCTAGTAAAAACATGATGATGGAATGATAAAGTAAATAAAAGTGATTGATAGTAAAACTGGTTATTGACTTATTGACTCTATAAAATAATAGACTTAACTAGACCCTTAGGTATCCTTTTCTATTGACCAGGCCACGTATTCTCGAAACATTCTTAGCGCTAGGATATCCTAGAAACAGTATTAAAAGCTAAGACCCAAGTATATCCTAGCTCTAAGATCGTTTCGAGAATATGTGGCCAGGGGTTTTCACTCTTCTTTCAATAACACCTATCACGATTCTTGATTGATTGAATTATTCCCCTTCCTACTTTGTTCTAAGGTTTTCCCTGCAATCTTTTTCTTGTCAAGGGAATATTCAAATTGCCTGACTGAATAAAACGATTACTCCCCAGGATGAAAACCTTAGATATGGACATTAAAGGAATACATTAAACTGACATACATAAAAGATAAAAAGTTAAATTTTCTTCAAGACAGATATTATGCCAGGCACATATAACAGATAATTACCTGCAGTAAATGAAGACTATTTTTGTTGCGAGTTTAGTTTGTTTTCATACTTTGAAATAGGATTTTTATAAGAAAAGATTTGTAAATGATGGTTCAGTTTCCAGTGTTATTCCTTGCGGCGTACTAAATATAGTAAGGAACAATATAGCTCTCTGAAGCAGCATGGTGTAAAAGAGTCATTCGGTGCCTAATTTGAAGCTTTATCATAAGACAAAAGACATTTTGAAATTACACAATCTTCTAACAAATATGTTAGAAATGATGTAAACTAGTGCTCAGTTTATTCTGCGTTTAGTTTGAAGCCTTTTTAAGACTAATTGATCAAGAAGGAAGATGTTTTGTATTGCGTAATCCTCTACTGAACTATAACAATATAATGTTTAAAGAAAGGCAATACGAAAGAAACCTTACTGTGTTATTAGATGTTCAAAATGAAATAAAACGGATATTAGTTTCTTCAACAATCTTCTTCACTGTGGGATGAAAAGAACAATATATGTTCATTTGAACTTTGTCTGATACTCTCAATTGTAATGAAATACTTCAGATGCCATGTTGTTCTTATTTGAAACGAACTATGAGAACTCATACTTGTACATTTTCTTCAAAACCAAAATATATCTGTGTGTTTGTATTGCGATGAGATATGATGAAGAACGATGTTTCTCTAAAATTTTTATTCGATGAACGTGAAGGACCATCATTCACAAACTTTACTAAGTCTGAATCACCGATCCCAAAGACTGTCCACTGGTCGAAAGCTTTAATTAGATCTCAGACACTATATAAGTCCACTCAATACTATGATCAAATCTTGGGAATACGTGGTTTTTGAACCCTGAAAATGGGTATGTTAAACTAGGTTGACATGAAAGACAATGACAGATGAAAGATTTTTTCATCAATGGATCCAGAGTTGATAATTACTTTTGTTATTGAAATCTGGCTTTGTTTTCTTTCAACGATGAAGTTCAAATTTCTAGCCTCTTATCTGAAGAAGGTGTCAACGATGGTATGAATTTACTTATTCTTTTACACTTTGTGAATGCATTGTCTCTTTGGTTTCCTGTCTGAGAGAATTAACATGGTTATCTGAAGAATAGAATAATATAGACCACAGCACAGTTTCAGACAAAGTTTATGTTTGAGTCTGACCTAGTAACATTTCTCCGAAATTGACTGCAAAAGTTTTTATAATTGACCAGACTGACATGCTAATCTGTGGTTTGTTTTTACAAGAAACGGACAGAGTTAAACTTACTAGCTGTACTAGTCTGAAACTTGAAGGAGCATGTGTTGAGCTTTATTTTGTAGATGAATGACTATAGCCAAGGTTTGCCTAGTTTTTCAACCTCAAGGCGAGAACTAAATAACAGGACTATTTTATTATACAAATTATATATGATATAGGGAATACCTTTTCCTTGCAGCTAGTAACTGATTTCAAATCACCTTGGCGCCTCTGTTTTAGATCATGTTAAATGATACAGGCAATGTTGTTACTTGTGGCAAGTTACCGATATAGAGATTTATTTGGCATGAATAATAACTGCATGCTGGTTATTGAAGTAGTGATAGAAAGAGAAATTGAAGCATTGAAGCATTGATGCAGTTGATTTGCCAATGTCTCAATTCATGCTATTAATTCAACATGAATGAAAAGCTGGTTGTATTTATTCAACTTGTTTGAATTTTGATTGGAAAAAGACTGAGAACAAGCTATTCAGGATGATCTTGATAGAAAATCAATGTTTAAAGATGGCTATCGTTAATTTTCACACTCTATTCTGTACTGTAGTGTTTTTATTAACAATATTCTGTGATGTCTTTATAAAACAGAAATACGAGGGTATAATTTGAAAATAATTCAATACATTTACAGTTTTACATATTTATAAATTTTTAGTCTAAACTTTCACATTTCTTTTCAAAATATGATAGGGATAAGATGACAAGCGATACAAAACAGGCTACAATGATTGCCTTGAATGCACAATGAACTATTTCAAAAGAAAAATTTCTATCCTTTGTATACTTATGGCTTCTATTTGCACCATTTCTGATTCTTGTCAGAGGTTTATGTTTTCTAAATTCTAGAAATTCAAGACCAGATAATGCCTTCATATTTACCCAAAGTTATGGGTTTTATATTGAATACATGAAACAGAATACCAGTCCAATGACTGCACTGTTAAACCATCTTTTTGTCCATATACCATGCAAGTCTGTCAGCCAAACAAGATATTTTTTCAAATGATTTTATATTTTATTCTGTTGATATTTTTCAGTGTCTACCCTTCCTTCTTCCTCATTATATATATTGGTACATGTCCATAATTTCTGTAACAACCTAGAGAATGTTTTAACATCAGTTTTAATCGATATGGAGTCTGATGTACAGATAACTTGGGTATGTATTAACTTTTTATATCATTATGCGCCCAAAAAATGTTGCAGCCTCCTGATGGTCTATTGGTTAATAGTTTCTTGTCAGAACAGAATACAATTTGGAAGTTAATATACATCAAAGAAGTTTTGAGTTCAAAGTTGAGAATATTTCGAAAAAAGTCATTAAGTTATTGCCGTTGACTCAAAATGCCCTCTTCTAATATCCAGCTATGATAAGTGTGCAACTATTGCTGTTTGCGTATGTTATCATGTCTGGCAAACTATCTATTCTGAATGCCATTTTGATGAAAGGTTTTAATACAGATCTTCTAATCCCTGTGGATTTTCAGCAAATACAGTTGAAAGATAACATCAATACTGCATACTAAATGATCCTTGCTATATTTGTTGATTTGAGTACATCAGAAAATTTTGGGCTATGTTTGAACTGTTCAGTCCATTGCTCTGTTTTATGTATTAAACTATACCTAGAATAATATAATCTATGATATTTAAGTTTTGTTGTTAAAACTTGTTTTGAAGAAACATGAGCAGGATTAGAGAAAGTCAATGAGCTGTATAAAATAAGAACTTTTGACGGCATTTGTCATGACTGTTTGTCGGGCTACAGTTCTAAAACATGCAAGACTCTCAATGTAAAACACAAAGCTCTTGAATTCTCTTTATATATAGTCATGATATCCTATAGTATTTTCAAGATATCATGTTTAAGTCCCATTATTTATCTCTTGTCTAGAAAATGGCCATTAATTTTATTTTATGTCACTCCTGATTTTGTTTTACATGTTAATCCTAATTAAACATGCTCGTTCTATTTTTGGTTCTTCCATATGCTCCCCACCCATTTCTTTAACTATACAGAATATTTTTATATATCCTACTTTTCTCTTGGTTTAGGTCATCTGTAATAAAAGTCACCAGTGTATCCATGTGAAATGAAATTGAATTGAATGTCTTACTTTTATGCTATGACTGTGCCGTGCTGGAGAATATGAAAAGCATCATGCTCTATGCAATGAGCATACTACAATCATCTAAAGACAAAAAATAAAAATAAAGATCTCTAAAAATTGCTGTTAGTTATTGTGTCTCTGATTTTTGATGTAGCAATTCATTTTGATTTTGGATGAATGAATCAAACATTTGTTTTGATTTGATTTATTTGATGAGTATTTGTTTTATTTTTTTTATTGATAATTTAGACGTTTGTTGTTTTTTTTTTTTTTTCAAGTTTTGGAACAACCTACCCTATATAGTATATTTCCTGTCAGTAGTCAAGAATTTAAAATCCTACCCTGAAAGTGTATTCCTGTCTCGACTCTCGCTACATTGGAATTGGTTATACAATAAATTACTGTTACCATTATTATCATCTTCTTCAACTTGGAGGTAAGTTTAATCCATGAAGTGTGAGTTTATCTCAGGGATGCTGCTTCGACATTTTTTACTGCCAGACACTTGTGAGCAGTTAGTTTGTTTGTCAGTCAGGACTGATTGCTACCTAAGCCCTGTTTATACGACCACATTTACTTACATAAGTATATTTACTCACATAAGTGAAAGGGGTCGTGTAAACGCTTCTACTTACGTAAGCAAATATTCTCCAGGCAATGTATTCTCGAAACGATCTTAGCACTAGTTTATCCTCAAATCAATGTTACAAGATAAGTACCTAGGACATCCTAGCGCTAAGATAGTTTCGAGAAGACATGGCCAGGAGTATTTTATTTCACTTAAAGAAGTCGTGCAAAAGTATATTAACTTATAAGCAATTATACTCCAGGAGTAAATATGCTTATGTGAGTAATATTTGGCCGTATAAACAGGGCTTAAGTTATGAAATAAAACTTGTCAATGTTATATACAGACTGATTTCTCTATGTCTGTAATTGCTAGTCCTGTCTGATATTATCTCTAAAATATCTGAATGGTATCAAGGGAAATGTGAGTTAAAATGGGTGAATAAACCAGCTTGAACTCCATGCTGAAATATGCAACTAAATATTCAAAAGAATCATGCTGATAACAGTCTATGTGATAAAATTAGCGCTAAGAATTGATTGTAACCTCCTATGCTAAATTCAATGTCCATTTGTGTTAACTATGGTCTGACCATGTGTAATATTATTATGTTGATGTTAACAATATTAGTGTGTATGAATAGAAAGTAATGATCATTAGAACTCTGTAGAAATCAGATTATCACTAGTCACTAGAATAGAATGTGTTTTCTCTCGTAGCCTGACCGAATCTTGTAAATTATTTCTAGTACATGTAAATAAGGTGTGGGCGTTAAGACATGGGTGTAATTTATTCAAGTAATTCTTTATGATTGCCGAAGGGTATATCTCTTTTAAAATTTCTCTATTTTATCACTCCAAGACAGGTTAACACTCAAAAACACTACTGAATATTTGTCTCTGTACAGGACTGTCAATTTGGATGTATTTGCCAGTAATGCCCATCAATAATCTTAATAGAAACTGTCCACTCTTTTTATAGACACCTAAAGTTGCCATTTGTTTTTGAGATTGGTGATAGTGATTTTTCTTAATTTTGGCATTTCGCTTGTCAGTTATAGTTCATTTGTTTATTATCACTCGATAGTGTCTTGTTTCACATGCTAGGATTATCATTGGCCCCTTCTTGAAACTTCTTTGGAACATAAGACTTGAGAAATAGGGTAATGAATTCAAACATTTTGTATTGCCGAATACCTTTACCAAATATTTTATAAGATTTGATCAGGCTACGAGAGAAAACAAGTTCTATTCTTGTTACCGGTGATTTCTGATTGTTAATAAGTTCTAATGACTTGAAATAGGGTCAAGAATTTAAATATTTTGAATTGCCTAATACCATTACCTTTACAAAATATTATACAAAATTCTGTCAGTTTATGAGAGAAAACATGTTCTAGTTACTGGTGATAATTTTATTTCTACCAAGTTCTAAAGACTTGGGTCATGAATTCAAGTCTATTGTGTAACAATAGCTAACAGGCTTGTATTAAACTATTATTCCGTTTCAGACCCCCATCAGTGATATTATCATCTATAAACCAACTCCAGAATATAATGGGACAAGAAAACATGGCAGCGAAACAGTTTGTTAGATATTTAACACAATATGGCCATCCTAAACCCTACACCACCCAATCTCAGTCTGAGCTACAGCAAGATATGAGATATTGTCAAGATTGTTTAAATATCTATAAAAACAATAAACCAGCTGTATTGAAACTGAAAGTAGAAGCCTTGGTACATGATGGAGAGAAGCTGAAATGTCTACTGCAGTCCATTTGTGAATCTTTTTATAATGGACACAGTGATAAAGGTATGTATGAAGGAAAAAATGTTGAAAAAATTAGATTTTTCGAAAGTCATCTTGGCTGCCAGGTTTGATAGCATTATGACTGTGTCGAGAATTCAGAACTGAAACACTTTCAGGTTTTTTTCTGTGTTACCTTTGGATGAACAGAAGTGGGGGTTGTTTACTTATCCAAAATCTTCAAATACCAAAAGGCTTTCCTAATGATTGGTGTTAAATTTTGAGTTCTGGCCAATTGACCTATAAAATTATGAACTGTATTTAGAAAATGAAGATGGCATACAGATGAAGATTGGTAAATTGAAATGTAGTTTGATTGAAAGGAATATTCTAGAAGAGGAATTTGAATCCATGGATACCAGAGAATCTGCGGACACGTCTGGAACTGCTGCTAAGCCAACACGTCTGAAACAATATGTCGAGCTTTGGCCAATCTACGAACATTTTAGTTTGTTATTTGAATATTATTTAATGGTTAATGAACGACCTGAACTTACTGTTCATCAGCTTCGAGACTTGATAACCAGATATACTCCATCTACTACAAATCATTTACTGGATAATCCGGATGCAGTGGATAAGGTTAGCATGTGTTGATTCTTTTGTTTTGTAGCTTTTAGCAAATTGCAAGAAGGAATTATCATGATAGGAGCTTCTTTGTAGGTTTTCATAAGGTAAATTTGTTGATGATGGCAGCTTCATCTGTTCATATCTCCAATTGTCAAGGGATCTGATCAGAAAGACAAGCTGTTCCTGGATGCAACTGACTACGAGTAAGCTTCATTGAATCCCTGCTTTGAAGCACAAATACTCAATTGTATTGATCCAAATGAGTTAATAATGAGGTCTTTAAATCTTATACAGCTCTGTATATCTGATATATTTTGGATATTTTTTTTCCAGAAAAAGTTGTATCTATTATTAAGTGAAGTTATAATGAATAAACTATGGAGAAGTTCTGTCACTAAAGATAGTACTACCTGGTTATTATGGAATACACAGTTACCTCCCCCTGATGATACTACTAAAATCAGATTCAGGGTATGTAGATATTGTTTATAATAAGCCTACAGTTAATGAGTATTGCCCTTTGCGTCCTTCCTCCACTCAACCAATCACTATTAGAAAAAAACCTATGGAGCTACGGAATGTGAAAAATTTTAGCTCTTTATTTTTACTTTATATCTTTTAATAACAACCTAAACTTGAAAACCAACCTAATATGCATTTTACATTATGCTATAATCACAAAACATAATGTTGGCTTCACATAAAGATTGCTCTGTTTTGGACAGATTAACCCTTAGGAGTCTTGAGATGACCCCATGCATTCAAGCTTACACCTTTATTAACTATAAGTTGATCTAATGTGTTTCAGGGACCAGGAATATTCCACCTGATACCAATGTCCTACAGTATATATACTCTACTGTCAACTAAATCACCAGACCCTAAAGACAATAGTTACCTCCCTTTACATGTCTCGTTAGGCAGCGTAGACGACCAGCTCAATAAACTACATCAACTATCCTCATATTTATGGAAATATTCTGGTGTTTTATCATCAACTAGATTAAATATTGGGTAGGGTTAATTTTTTCCTTGCTGTGTTATAATCTGATTATTTCACAATAAAACACTATTTCCTAAAAATTCAAGGATGAACATAAACAGCTTTTAAGGTCTTTTCCATTGCACCTGCTACCACTGCAGGATCAAGTTTGTATTTTTCACGTCTTTTAGTATTGACTTGATATTTTATTGGAAAACAAAACCTGAGGTTGGTTATATATCAGATATTGCTTATGATTTCACCGTCAATGTATTACATTATACTCTCAGAAAGTACCAACCTTGAGATAAGTCTTTCAAAAGCTAGTAGTTTTAGTCCAGTAAATTTCAAAACAGTTGGATGAGAACTAAATTAGCCAAATGAGGTGCTACACATAATTTCATTCTATATCATTTCTTTTTCAGAAATATTGAACAAGGTCATTTAATGAAGTCATTTATAAAGATGTTAGATTCATTTGGTGTTTTATTGACCTCTCATTCTCAAACAAAATGGTTTGAGTTGATATCAACTGTAGAGATGAACTATTCCACGGGCACTCTGACCACAGGAGATATACTGACTGTACAGGCATATTATCAAGAGGTGTATACAACAATTGAACACCCTGCCCTACCCCTCGTATCTCGCTGTTTTGAAGTGGTTATAGATATACTACAGAACTGTACTGGGAATGGATTAGGATTAGGATTAGCCTATGTTGGATTAGCATCAGTCTATCTGCTAGCACCTGTTGGACCAGTCGACCCTGTAGAGAAAAATGCCATTAAAATGAAGAATTTTGAAAACCAGGTATGAACTTGCTTTATATATTTCTGTTCTCTTTGTATGAAAATGAATCTTGATGGCTCAGAAAATGCTAGAAATGCTTGCTATCTTAAGACTGAAATATACTGTTTGTTTTTCCAATGAAAATGAGATGAACAATATAGACCATGTGGCCTATTTGTTTGATTTGAAACTGAACAAAAATAATGCCTGTGCTAAAATCCTTGCCTATCCTCATTATAAAGTAAAATACAGAGGGATTACTAATTTAAATTCTGATTATTAAATTTCAGATAAAAGAAATAGAGTGTGAAATAGAGGTATATGAAAGTAATATAAGATTAAAGACAGGGTTGAGTATAGAAGATATAAAGACCAGTAAACTACACCCTAGATTACAGTATCTTATAGAACGTAAACAACACCTACAACATAAAATATTACTACTTACTGATCAACAAGCTTACAGACCTGATCCTTTACAGGTAACTTTTAAATTACTCTGACATGTTTTCTGTCCTCTTCCTTTGCTGTTACCAGATTGTTGCCTATTTATACTCAAGTTTGTGAGTGATTGTAGTGACAAAGGTTATGTTGAATATAAGGTCCTAGAACTTCACTTTAAGTCATCAAAAAAACTTGCCGGTCACTGCAGTGTATTTCAGCAGTATATATGTTTGAAGTGCTTTTGTAATAAACTCCTCTTAATTTGAGATAAAGTTCTGTATTTCAAGTTCTAGTATGATTTGAATCTAAGTACTTATTCTCCTGTTTCAGTATTTAAGTTTAGTACAAGATGTAAAAGCCTACTTAGAAAGTATAGGTTCAATAGAGAGAGTTACTGCCCTTCTCAGCAAACTTCAAACAGCCAATCAAATTGAAGGAGGACCACACGTAGATGAAGTTATTATCACTTCCTGTTTACGAGAGGAAGAGGCGTGGCAACAGACACAACAGAGTTTTCTGGACAGTTTAGACAAACATTATTGGTGCTACCCTGATTTAATTATACCATTTAAAGCCTTAATTCAACAGGTAATGATTTTATTTAAACAGACAACCAACTGCAGGACAGATTTCATATTGACAATAATGAAGGATATACAGGTTAAGAGAAACTTTGACAATTTATAATTCGTAAAAAATTAGGAAGAAAATTGCACCTCTAGCCTTTAGAGCATTGGTTCTTAACATGACTTCAAGCAAATGGCTGCCGGGTTTCAAATCTTGATCAGTGTGTCATAGCCCGATGACCTTGAATATGTCATCTCCACTCATAATTCCAGTCCACCCCGCTGTAAATGGGTACGGATAATCCGGGAAAGGTCAATGCTGAGAGGTTTGGCCAAGGACCAGCTGGTGGAAAGGATCCTTAACTGTGAACCTAATTTGTTATCCTTGTAAAATATAGTTGTTTCTTAGATCACATCTATTTTAAGGTGTTTGGTGTTATTATTGAATAATATTGTTTAGTAATGGTGTGATATGATCTCAATATTTATATTTATATTGTAGATGAGACTAGGTGTTAGTATTTTAACACAGACAGTAGAAACTAGTCATAAACAGTTCACATTATCTAAGGTAGGTCTTTCTTTAAAGGCTATATTGTTATATGTGCAAAAAAATAGTTATAAACCAATGCACAAGTCCTAAATTAAATCAGTAATCAAAAATTAAAATCAGTCAGTAGTTACTGGCCAGATGGGAGTAAAGACAACAAGTTATTTGAAATGTATCTGAAGACACATCAAAGGACAATGAAGAGAAAAGACATATTATATTGCTAAAATGATTTCAAATCTTGATCAAACAACCTCTTCTATCCTTATTTCAGCAAATCTATGGTCAATCATTGGAAGAAGTGATGTTGATATTGAGTCAATTTCCAAATATCAGTCAAAACCACGAGACATTCCATGATTTAACGAAGATATTGATATATGATACAACGTGTGAATTAGTCAATACCAGTATATCAACTCAGAATACCGACTCTGATCATATACATGATGTACTTTCTAAGTAAGTTTGCTCTTTGATTTATTCTTGAGTTCAAGTCTTAAACTTGATTGAATTTGAGCCCCTGCCTATATGACTCTGCTTGTGGGCAGTACTGTCTCTTAGGTCAAAGCAATGTCCAGATCCAGAATTATGAGTTATGTGGTTGTTGGTTGATTCCCCCAAGGCCAAAGATTTGGGATTTCTTTGCATTGTATTTTATATAAGATAACAAATGATCGTATGCTGTCTCAAAGTTTTCTTGCAGAAAGACACTTAAACTGTTGTGAAATGAAATGAATTTAAAATGTGAAATTAAGTTTACTTTTTTTTTTTACAAGAAACTGGTTAAAATTCAATGAAATCAATACCAAACTTTGACTGGATAACAGATAAAATTTGATATTTTCAGGTTGTTATTGTGTGGACTATATCTGATTAAGATACATTGTTATTTTCAGGTTGTTATTATGTGGACTATACCTGATAAAGATACATTGTTATTTTCAGGTTGTTATTGTGTGGACTATACCTGATAAAGATACATTGTATCAACAGTGGTGAATTAACATCTCATATCACCCAAACATTATCTAACTTATTTACTACCTTCGTCACCGCCTGGCAAGATCAGGAGACCAGACGACGAGAGAAGGAAGCAGAAGACGCCAGTTTATATCGGTATCGCAGTAAAAATCACGGTGATGAAAAAACAGATGAAGATAAAGATGAAGCAGAGTTTAAATCAAGTTTCCCTTCTTTTGAAAATGTAAGATTTTATAGATATACTCCATTGACAATTAGGGTTGACGGTGGAAAATTTACTAGTTTTTCTCAAGGGTTATTCCCTTGACAAAGTTGAAAAGAAATTAGTCAGTGTCTTTGAATAGTTTAAAAACCCAGTTTTCAATTGAGGTTATTGTTAATATAAGTTCAGATGAATTAAGTTAATGCTTCAGACGAATTTGATCCTTTTACTCCAAAAGTTTCAGAGTTATTGCCCTTGATCATGCCTGATCATTTCTAAGTAAGGTTGAATTTTCCTAAAATTTGCTTCAGAGTTATTGATTTATAACTGAGTGACTTGTGATTGATGTCACAGGTTAGGTTAGATCACCTTAAACAGAGACAACATTTGTTTTGAGTTCTGGCATAAACCTTTGAGCAGTCGTATTCTACAGATCTTTTTGGTTTAAAATGATTTTCCCTTATTTTTTATTAGGTGTATGCCGATTTAGTCGGACCTCAGAGTTTAGAGGAAGTAGGAAATCTAACAGAAGAGGATGAGTCTATCAAGTCTACACCGTACAGTATCAGTATAGAGGACATGTACACAGTGTACCAAATACACGATTTATTATTTACCTCCCTTATAACTACCGACTGGCTGCCATCAGTATCATATACTAAACCTACCATACACGACTATATACAACCTGCTATTATAGCTTATAATATAGCTTCTCAAGTTGCTACCAAATCTCCTGAGGCTTTAGGTAGGTATTTATTAATATTATTCTATTCTAAAGATACTTTTGATAGAATAGAATATTGATAATTGTTGGAATGAATGCTATTTATTGAAGACTGTATACAACCTGTTATTCTATCTTGTAATTTAGTTTTGCAAGTTGCTACAAAATATCTTGAATGTATTTATGATTTTTGGTTGGAATTTATCAGTATCATAACTTTAGTTAGTAATTTATTGCACTTAGTAGAAATATTATTAGAAAGATGACAAGGCCATCCTTCATATTTGTTTTTTTCAATGGAAATATATTTCTATATTCTGTAAATAATAAATGTTTCTTCTTTGGAGAATTTCCTACTTGAATCAGGACTTTTACTCATAATCCTCAAAAACCTTATCAAGTGTACACCATTGTTTATCTTGTTTCAGGAAGAGACGTAGATACAGGAGTTGTAGGTGGTCATTTATTAATCAGTGGTGTTGTACAGCAGACTATATTATCTGGTTTAAATAATACACAGTCTCAGACAGTAAGTCTTTATATCTGAATATCATTCCTAGTACTGTACAGTTTTGATGGCTTATATATAATTAAAGTTCTCTTTTTTCAGGCCATCTAAAGGCTGTTTCAAGGGAGATAACTTTCACTACAGATTTGATATTTTAAGACCACAATATTACAATATGGCAGTGAAAAACATAAAATGAAACTCCTTCAAATAAAGTTTTGTTTCTTTTTCTAGGAAAACAGTCTATGTTTGAAGCCAACAGAATATTATGATATATATTATGATAGTAATGTGAATGAAGTTAGTCAATGTAAAGTTATATTAGACAGGTTTCTAGTTAGACTGGATGAACTTTTGATAGAATACCCTCAACATCCTACTTTATCACAGGTATGGTATTTACATAAGCACCAGGCTGTAGCTCACTCAAATCTAAAACTTTAGGGCAGGTAGTTTTATGGGGACATTTAGAAGAAAGTCAGATTTAAAAGGATAACTTTAGTTTTCTATGGGAAGGTGTATTGGCTAGAATTTCATTGTCTTGAAATCATTTAGTTGTGTAGACCAGACAATAAACTGAGGCCCTGTTAGCTGACTATGTAAGATTTTTCGACTGTTGGAGATATTTCTTTACATAATGCATGGCTTTGCTCTTGATTCTTAGTCTAAACTAGAGCAGAAGTAGGTCTTCATTATTTTCATATTATAACCTTGAAAGTGATATGATTTTATATTATATTATTGCAGATTGTGGCTATCATCAGAAGAATATTATCATTCTCTATAACCTGTCCTATTATGAAGTTTTTAGTCGGTTTAGAATTATTACTAGAGAAAACCAAGGTAAGAAAAACAGTTTACCTTATCAAACATCATTAATCTGATCGTTCAAAAGATATAACTCTTTGAATTCCCTTGGCTACTTGAGAGGATTATGGGGCGACTTACAGTCATTATATTGTGAAGTGTCGTTTATGTAAAAAACTTGAAAGGTATTAAAGTTGTAGAAAGCTGATACCAGACGGACTCTATAAAGCATACGCTGTATTGACAGAGCTCAAAGGCTAAATATCATATGTTGTTCATCAATTTGTATTCTAAATCTCAGATTCAAGATGTTGATTTTTAATTAATGAATATATTTTCAGGATTGGGAAGCGAATGCAGCTAAACATGTCTCAGTAATGACTCATTTTAAAGAAGTTTCTGCAATGGTTGTTCAGTGGAGAAAACTAGAGCTGGGGTATGTATTAGATTTATTATTTTTACAGTCCATAAGTCAATGAACTATTATACTCAAGGCTGTTCAATATCAAATACCATGGCTTGGATAATATTCGTGAAATTCATATGTAGATTGGCAAGGCATTGAGGTATTGTAGAGAGGTTTTCTAAACATATTTGTATTGGGGACACTGTTAGCATCGCTTTTCATCATTCCAATTTTCAGTCAGACATCTGTGGTTCTTGCAATTCCAATAAAACTACTAACACCACCACTATTGCAAAGGCACTTAGATATCGATAACAATTATTTAATCATTATGTATCTTTGTTATTTTTAGATGTTGGAAGAATACTATGTTGATAGAAGAAAGAAAATGTGAGAAGTCTGTCAGTAAATGGTGGTTTCATCTTTATCAATTAATAACATCTTATCTTCATAATGCTACCAATACTCAGGTATAGTATTAAATTTATGTTTTTGACTTTTGCGTTTTTCTAAGGATATTTGACGGAAAATTGAAATAGCATAGCATTAAAGAAAAGACAGAAAACACCCAGATGTTAAATTGATTGGTATTTATCAGTCATGTGATTTATGTTTGCAACAAGCTCCAAATTTTTACATTTTCTTAACAAAAATAACAAAATTTATCTAATTAATGTAATTGCTAACATTGCTAATGCTTAGATTAGTCTAGCCAAGTAGTACAGAAAAATAATTAAAATTTTACCGTAAGAAACAACTATTGAAAAAATAGAAAAAAATGCAGTTGTATTTATATTAATCCACAAACTTTGATACCCATGAAAAAAAATGTTTCCATAGTAACCAATGTAAATATATCTGTATGTATAATTCCATTCTTTTAGGAAACTGTTGAGAGTGAGAAACTTGTTACATCATTAAAAGAGTTTCTAGAGAAGTCTAATTTAGGAGAGTTTAAATATCGTTTAAAGATGATATTAGCTTTCCATTGTCAAGTTTATAAAATGGATGCTTCTGATAAACAAGGTAAGTTGGCTTATAATTTGCATTTGTAGCAGTTTTACAGGCTTAGGAATCAAAAACATAAATTATGATTGAATATTATTCCAATATCAAAGTCTGACACCATTGTACACTGCATAGAGGTGGTAGGGTTCCAATCTGATCTACTAATGTAAAATACTAGTTAAAATATCTGGTGTTTCTCTTACATGTATTCATTGGTCATTTCAAGAAGTGTTCGTTTTTTCCTTGAAATAATTTGACCTGTCCTTGTTTATGTCTGATAATATCCCTGAATGCGTATGAATATTTTAAACCTACCATAAACCTATTATTTACAGTGGAAGTGTTAAATTTATTATGGAATCTGTACCAGTTTTATCTTCAATATTTACCCAATATAGAGGCTGAAATAACTTCTCAAAAAACACCACTTCTAAAACAACTCAAGGTATCTTCTCATCCTACATTTTTTTAAGTTTAATTGTAAAAAACAGATTCCAAAGGCCTATAGACCATATTCACGCGTCTGCCATATTGCATCCAGAATGAGGTTCATAACGCAAACAAAAGTTACGTGGTGTCATTTCAGTAAAATCGCCACGTTGATGTTTTCAAAGCCTCCTTTTCTATCCTAGTAACTCAAAAGTTGTTAAGCATTTTAATGATACTGAGAAAAGGCAGTTTTAAGGACTATAAGGGAAGTAACTCTTGTTAAAAGGGAACTATTCAGACCACAATATGACAGTTTCTCATTATTATTCTATAAATAATTATTTTTCCAGGGTTTTGTAAAGATAGCTAGATGGAGTGATTTAAATTACTGGGCTTTAAAACAATCAACAGAGAAAACACACAGAACAGTTCATAAATATTCTAAAAAATACCAGGTAGGCTATAGTTTTGAGAAATTAATCAAATCAGTTGACACTTGACCTCAAAACCAGTCACTTTCATGTAAAAGATGTTTTAAAAACGGCAGCCTGGGGATGGTATGCTCATCCTTCTGGAAAATCTTATGTCTTTCAGAGGATTTATAAGCAATTTGTACTATTGGATCTCGGAAGGTCTTCTTAAAGCGATTGTATCTGTAGCTCAGGTACACATATAGTCTTTGAACTGGTTCTTCCATGTGTAACAATATCATATATTCATATAATCAATTCCTAGATGGTACTGAATCAACCAATAACCAAACTACTAGGAGAAAAGGGAGATAACCTATCTATGATGACGTCTGGCAGTGGAGCGTTATCTAAAGGAGGTGTGTTATGTGATAGACTAGAGGTTTACAGACAGACTGTTTATACACAAAAATTACGGGTAAGTTTCTTCTTGGAACTCTGATCTTTCAAACTTCCAACACTCCTACAGCAGGTCATCAATCTAGGTGCTTGCTAACTAAGTGCGATGTTTATTTTTGATACATCAGCAGATAAGTTTCTGTGTGTAATTGCAGGGACTGAATGCAATATCTACTTGTTCAAACTTCAATATAACTTCTATTTAACATTCCTGAGGTTGGAATAGCCAGCATAAGACGGACACCTAATGGATGGATGCCAATTTGTTGCACTGCTTAAAATAGACACCTCTGTAGGAAACTATAGTGAATAAATCTTTTTGTTGTTTGAAAACATTTAATGTCTAGTATTGTCTTTACAAATAATATCAATCTTTTTTAAAGCATGATAAATCTGAAGTTGATGATAAAACTCTGAGTTCTCTACAACAAAGATTACCCATATTAATACCTAAACTATGTAAACACTGGAAAACTGTGGTGAAATCTTTACCTTATACACAGACACTGAAAGGACTGGATGAATTTACAGGTAGGTCTTTGGTATAGAAATACATTTTGTCCAGTCTCATCCATATTACCATGAGCATGATATATGTTTGCTTGCTAACTGCTCTATGGTTTAATTAATATACTGATTTTTAAGAAAATTATATGCATACATTTTGAATAGATTAGAAAATATTTAAAACATCAATTTATATTTTAGGTGATGTTATTGAAACAGTACATGAACTACAACAAGCTGAAGTTAGCACTGTAAGTAACTACTATGACATTATGACTTGAAAAAAATATCTAATTCTTCAAAGGGGACAATCAAATGAGGTCATGTATGAATCAGGCTGTACATGACAGATTCCTGACAGTTGGCATTTGAAAATCTGGAGCAGAAAAGTGGGAAATAAAGCCCCAAGTTGTTACTATTGTGAAAAAAAAAAAAAGTTTTACTACAATTCTGTACTTTTGGTTTCACATTTGGAAAGAATGTTGTGTTACTAGAAAATAGTTAAAAGACACAGCGGAAAGCTTTTATTTTGACATTCTTTTCAATTTTTTCAGGGTGATGACAAAGAAAAGCAGAAATCAGCTGCCAAATTTCTTAATTTAAGAAAAAGAAAATCTTTAGCTGAACTTTTCAAATATCTTACCAAAATGGGTAGGTTTTTTTTTTCTTTTGGTACTCAGAAGCACTGACTATGGCAATTTTGGCTTAGTTATGATATATATTTTATTTAATTGATAAGCTGCTGTTATGCTTCTGTCACACATGTGCTTGTTTGCTACATAGACTACAGTTTATGTGAACTACCAATGGATAGTTTGAAATAGCAAAAGAAAGTGGCAAGTTACCTCAACTGCAGTACATTTTCATGTTCATCACTGCATATCATTGCCTATTTTATAAAGTAAATATTTTTTTTCTAGGTCTATCCTATCGTAAAGGGTTGATACTTGATGATCTAACTAAACAAGATAATTCTCTCTCACTTCAACCATTAGATATTACAGTAGCTAAATCACACTATCAATTGTAAGTATAAACTTACTTTCTCTAGCTTATTTCTAGAAGGTTTTTTTCTCATTGAATATTGAATAACAGTGATATGCACTTCAGAAAATGGACAGACACAGCGTGATTCCTTAATACACAATTCTTTCAGATCCTAGATTGGAAGACCTTATTGAGGTTCAACATTGTTTGTTAGAAAATACTTGCCATGGCTTTAGAAGGATATCTTGAATCTACACCACGTTATCAATCAAGTATTCAACTAAAAGCATTTTTCATTGTTCCACTCTGTTGCTTGATTGGTTTGTTATATAATATGATATGTGAATTATTTTGTAATATTATATATTATAGGAGTGAAGTATTGGCCAGTCAATGGGAAAATTGTCAGAATTATTTCTATAGATGTATAACTCGTAAAGCTCAGTTAGAACAGGCTGTTATACAACCTGCACAGGTTGGTTTGTTAATTTTTCAAAGTAGTTTTTCAGGGCTACAATTCTTAAATGTTTTTTGAAGAAACTTTTGGAATTGTGTTGCATTTAGGTACTGGGTTAGCTTTTAACATTAGTAATAAAACACAAGGAGGAACACAATCAACTAGGCATTCATTAAGGGAGACAACTCTTGATATACCCTTGATATTCTAAGACCACAATATGACATAAATAAATCTGGGATTAACATGTTACAATTCTTGAAACAGAATGATCTTTTTTCAGGATTTAGGATTAGGAAATGTAGAAAGATGTCGAGGATTCTCTCATCATCTTCATCATTTATTTACACAACAACGTCATGAGCTGGGAGAAACATTTACCAGTTTCCTACAAATTAGGTAGGATACTTTATCATTACATTCAAAATAATCAGTGATAACTATACATTTTCAACTTCCTTCAAAATAAACTGTTGTGATATCTTGAAATATTTGACTCCAATTAAATCACTGTGTTAGCTTGCCATTCAGCTGTTCGGAAGTAGTCGTGGAATATAATAATATGATGCAGAAGATCTATACCTTTCTGAGACTAAAACCATAAGTATGCAATGTAACAATTTGAGTATGTAATGAAATGTTTATAGCCCAGGAGATGACAATCAAAAGTGAGGCAAAACCAACTTAGTTCTAAATATATAAAACATGAGCTGAAATCATGATGTGTTCACATTGATTATGTATTAATATGATTTTATCCAGAAAATTTACCAATGAAATTAAAAGATTAAAGAAAGAAGATGGATTCAGTTTACCATCTCAATTTCAAGTACAGTATTGGTTGGTAAGTCAAGTTAGATATTTGTCTTTTGTCTTTATATGAATTGGATTTTCTTACTTAATATGTTAAAAAAATGATCTAATAGCCTTATATTCTTTAAATTCTTTCAAAGGTAAACTTATAGAAGAAAGTCATACCCAGTTTGATTTATGACAAATATTTGAATTTAGATTATTAGCTGGAGACCTTGTGGAAATTGGTTTTTTTCTAACTTTGATCATTTCATTTCTAGGGAAGAGTTAAAAATCTGTGTATTCAGTTATTGGAAGGTTTAAACCAGTATAATATATTACTACAATCCTGTCCTACACCATCAACTAGTACTAGTATTCTACCAGATATAACCCAGTTATCCCCCTTGTCTAATATTAAATATGGTGATACGATGTGGCTACAAACATCAGAGAAAATTCAGGTAAATGAACTTTCGAATTTTCTCAATAAAGTAATGTTTTAATGTTGTTCTCGACCCATCCTTGAGGTTTGTTCACCTATCAATGGAAATTAAATAGTCTAGAATCAACTGGTAGTGGAATCATGTACTCTCTTTGCATCAAGGTATATGTAAATCTCTACCATGAGAAGTAGACAAGGACCAAATTCCTCCACCATCTGTGAGTTCTTTATTTATTGTATTTATTTCAGAGTATAATTTCTAGAACTGAAACAGAATACAAAAAATTAATGAAATTATCACAGAAACATTTCCTTTTATGGTATGTATATTATTTAGCTTTAGAAACAACATAAAGTTTTTCTGAATGGACTTAAAAACTGGAGCTTTATGTTCAGCTTGCTGTACTGGTTAATGTTTCTTCAAGTGTTGGTAATCAGAAAAGAATATAGACAAATTGATAAAAAACTTATTTTTTGTGTAATTCATGCCATTGCTTGCTCAATATTTTTCACAAAATGCCAGATTGTGCCCTGTCCAAACTTTAAGCATCTTATGATTTGTATATAAAATGTTGCCCAATCTGGCTAGATTAAACTTCTGTTTTATTGTTGTTTCATATTATGGATTATATACAATTTATAATAAGACAGAAACACAATATGCAATTTTGAATTACCATTTTTCTAGCATTAGCTTTGACCTCTGACATCAAAATCTAAAATCATAACATACTGTTTGCCCAAAACAATAAGTATTGTGGTATTGTCACTATCAAGGCAGGGTGTGATTATCCTTCAAGAAAACCATAGGCCACTCTTTTGAAATCTGTGCACATGAAATCACACTTATTATCCCTTAAATTTGATATTGCTAATTCTATGGGATCTTAATTTTTTAGGGAGGATGTAAAATTGATAGAAGGAACATCTCAGAAAGTGAAAAATTTCAGTGATACATTAACAGAAATAACGGTGCTATTTACTGACCCTATAGACAATACAGACTGTGCTTTGAACACGCCCCTTAATATTCTTATTGGGAGTATAACTAATTGTATTGGTGAGGTAGAGGAATGGGCTGGACAATCTAGAGATAGGACTGACAGTGAGGCGGAGTCTAGTGACATGATGGACAATGGGGAGGAGTCAGGTGTTATGATTGACAGTCTTATAGAAACTGTACTTCTAGTGGTTCAAAAACTTCTATCTAAACATCCAGTGGTGGAAAAGAAAACAGAAGAAGAGGAAGAAGGTAAGCATCCAGACTCAAATTTCAGTGCAATTTCACGTGTACTGCGATATACCAATATATTTCCAGGTTAACGGTAATGCAGGGTGTGCATTATATTCGAAATTATACAGTATACAGTAATGATGTGGAACATCAAGTCATGAATTTGTTTTTTGCTAAGGCCAAACAAAATAAATAGTCTGTTTTACAGGCCTTTTTTTTCAAACATCAAAAATCAGGGCGAGACGGCCAATTAATTATTTATAAGCCCTTTTTTAGATTTTCAACTGGAATAAACCAGAGGGAGAAAAAGTATTTATTATTTATTACCACAAATTTAATGTACATTTAATATTAAAGCAACAACCAGGCATTTTTGGGCCTGTAAAACAGACTATTTATTTTGTATCGCATAACAAAATTCTATTATGAAAAGGCCATTTTGTGTTTCATATGAGCAATTAAGCATGGCCGTATATTGGTTTCAAATAGTTGATATTGGATTAAGGATGTATGTAGATTGGTTGAGCAGGGTGATACTTTAGTATTTTATTTTATTGCATTCTTTGACAAGGTCTGCATTCTGCATCTGTTCTAGAGAGTCCACATAAGTATTGACATTAGTTTGTTTTTATCTCAATGGAAGAGAATGCCAGTCCCTCATGCTATATCATGTTATTATGATAAAAGTTAAGAAAGGCTGGTTAGAGAAATCTTGTCTGAGATTTTTAATTTGGGAATGTTTCTAACATTTCCTTAAATCAAAGACAAAACACTAGAAAAGCATCTTCTAAATTCTAGAAATATATCATTGCTTTGCTATGTTTTTATTTGATTATGTTGATTACTATGGCTAACTTTGCTCATATGCCTTAAGTTGGTTATGGAAGGTTGACTTATACTTCCAAAGTAGTTCTCCTGCAGTATGAGTTCTTTTGAAATAAAACTTGTTTTGAATGTCTATTTTCTAGAAGAAGAATTAGAAGATGGATATATTGTAAAAGGATTGTTAGAAAATTTAAAATTTGATATCACAGAAATTAAAACTAAACAAGTAAGTATAGCTGTATTTTTTATTGTGCAGAATGCATTTTGGCAGCGGAATTCAGCAAGCTATATTAACTATTCAGGAATGCTTCATGTGGTGTCAAGGCAACAAACATCTTTCATCAAGATTCACATTGTCCATATTGCAAAAAGACATTTTAGAAAGGCTTGTTTAATTTTTTGAAATTTTAATTCTGGTACTTATTTTAAGTTGGTTCTCACTGCTCTGTATTTAAAGATTTAGATTGTATGGTTGTTGAACCAGTAAATATAATGTAGATTATGATTAAATTATTAATTTCAGATTTCGACAATGATAATGAGTATAATAGAGAAGACAATGTTATATTTTGAGAATGAAGATACTGTATCTAATGGTGAAACTAGTATGAAGTTATTATTAAGATGTCTACCCCTGTTAGAAAGATATTGTGATATAACAGAATATTTCTTAGCTCATGTTATCTGTTCTCATCGATGTTGTGGTAAATTATTATCAGTGTTGTTAGCTTTGTTTACAGAGCTTGCCATGAAGGTAAGTTTGAATTAATTAATTATTTATATATAATATATTTTGACATCTTTACTGTCAGAAATTGTAGGGTCAGGGTCAATCTTACGCCCTGGCTCGCTATATTGAATGTCATCGAAATGATCACAGAAATGGTCAATATGGAACTTAAGTCAGTGAGCTGTCTGTGATGCAGGTCAGAGGAGCTGACATGGAAAAAGTTACAGAAGTGGCTCATGTGGTACGGGTTCTCTATGTTAGAGATCCTTGACAGTTGGAAATCCAGGAGGAATTTAAGAATGAATGAAGCTGTTGTGACATGGTAGTTGGTCTTAATGTAAAGATTCAATTTACTCACTGTATTAAATGAGTATTAATATTGTATTCAAGGGATTCTGTGTACCACCAGAGTTAAGTGATGAAATGGAACAGGAAGGAGCTACAGAGTTTAAAGATATTGAACAGGGTGGTCTAGGGGAGGGAGAAGGGGTGAAAGATGTCAGTGATCAGATTGAAACAGAAGATCAGGTAATCTTTCTTTTAAATAAGTCTACAGTGGCAGAAAGTAGAATGATAATGTCCAACTTATTAATTTGTAATCAAACAAGGATGAGGAAGTTTAGAAGAGTTCCTAGGTAGATTCCCTTCTGCTACCACTTTCAACTACGTACATGCAATTCTCTATTATATAAGGAAGAAATTGGTTATTACTTGATATTTTGCAATAGAATGTAAAGCAATGTGGCATTAATTTCATTGAAGATAGACGCTGAAGTTGCAGATACCGTTTCTCACAAAAAGATTATTTGCATTGAGTATGAAATTTTACATGAGATGTTGTAAGATGTTTCGTACAAAATATTATAGCAAATTTGTGCGATGAGATAATTCAAGCATTGAAACTGTGTCCATTACAGTTAGATGATACACGAAGAGCTGGTGAAGAGAAGAAAGAAGACAATGATCATCAAGATATACCAGCAGAAGATAATGCTATAGAAATGTCTGAAGATTTTGAAGGGAAACCACAAGACATGAATCAAGAAGGTCTGTATCTTGTCATCAACTGCGGTAATGAACAGGGTGTAGCACAGTAAGGTTGGAGTGTTGGAATGGTGTCATTTGCTTTGACATACTGAATAAATGGTGGTTGTGGGTTGTAAATTTACTCCAGTCAACCCATCTGTAAATGGGAAGCCTTGAGAACAGTCAATGCCAAATGCCAAGCCTTCCAAACTCCATTGTGTCTGCTGAATATCACCCTTTGATATGAATCAATATAGATTTTATTCAGACTTGCTAGGTACTAAATTAATTCAATTTGAAATTCTCACATTAAGATGTAACATGTGATTTAAAAATTTTAATGATGAATGTGCACTTATATATCCTTCTGTTTCTATCAGAAGAAGAAGATAAAGACAAGAATGATGATGATAATGATGATGATGATGAATTAGATAAAGAAATGGGAGATATTGAAGATCAAGAAACAGATAAATTAGATGAACAACTGTGGGGTAGTGATGAAGAGGAAGACAATGAAAGTGATGTAAGTCTGTCTGCCTTTTTAGAATTCTATTCTCTTTTATGTCAGAAAGCCAGATTGTGCCCTGTCCAAACTTTAAGCATGTTATATTTTATATATAAAATGTTGCCCAATCTGGCTAGATCATACTCTGTTCTAGAAGTAGTTATGTTTGTGAATTTAAATGTTCATAAATTTAATATTTTAACAGAAACAAATTAATTAACAATTAATGCAGGGCTATCGATTAAAACAATGTAAACATACATTATTAAGCAAATTGTGCAAGCTTAAGCTGATAGGAGTCTATTACCAATACTTAACCCTCTTCTATCCTAACGTATCTCTGATCTATTCTATTTAGGAAAAACCGAAAGAAGAGACAGGACCAGGAGATGGAGAAAAGGAAGAAAGTGAATTAGTAGCTAAAGATGATAATTTAGATAAATCTCAAGATAAAGATGATAAACAGAATGATAAACAACAAGGAGAAGAAGAAGAACAGAAAGATGAAATAAATGAAATGGACGATATTGAAGAGGTCAGGCTTTTAATTTGTAATTTGATCTGTAATTGCTCTAGTCAAATGGGTAAAACTACTAAACTAACTGTCTAATGAAGGAAGGTCTAAACCCAGCTCATGTTTCCTGTTGGTGGGCAAACAGTACAACACTTGACAAATTCTGTTTCGAAATGTTCAAGATGATTGACCATATGTTTGACTTTTCAGGAGGGATATAATGATGACAAGATTGATGCCAATCAAGGAGATAGTAAGGAACCGGAAGCACAGCCTGAAACTATGGACCTACCAGAAGATTTAAACCTAGATGCTGAGGAGGCAGGGGAGAAAGAGGAAGAGACAGAAATGGATGATCCTGGTTAGTTTAGATATTGATTGTTGGCATATTGTAATATTGTGGTCTGAAAATATCAAGTCTGTATTGAGTAACCTTCCTTGGGTCTGAATAAGGATGTGTGTTTGTTTAAGCAGCATTGGGCTCCATTTAAGTCTTACTTGTATAGCTTGAATTACTATTTTAGGGTCTAATCTACTTCAAAATTTATTGCACTGTTGTTGTTTACATCGAATCATTCCAAATATGTGACTGTATTTTGACGTTTGGTATATGTGCACAATTTCTTAGGTTGATCATATCCTATATCATATGATTTTAGCTGAAGGTAAAGAAGATGGAAATGAAGATGAAGAAGGTACAGAAGATGTTGATAAATTAAAAGATAAAGAAGAAAAAGAAGAGGAAGGTAAAGATGAAAATCAGGAATCAGAGAAAAATGATGCCAATGAAGATGGAGCTGAGGTAAGTATATTCTGACCACAGGGCTATTGTATCTCCAGAACAAATCACTAAGTTAAAATTTCAACCCCAGAAGTTTTTGTCAATGCCAGATTGTGCCCTGTCCAAACTTTAAGCATGTTATATTTTATATATAAAATGTTGCCCAATCTGGCTAGATCAGACTTGACATTTTCCACTGTAAGATCTATATATATAGGAGTTATTGTGATGACAATGTGAACAGGTTTAACTATCAAACTACATGTAGCTTGAACATTGAAATACATGAAAATACATTATATATATCCACATGCAGTCATATGTGATAGCAGGCCCGTAGCCAGCCAAGGGTGCCAGGGGGCGAAATTTTCTTAGGGGGGGCCTGGCTTCCTCTAGCTACGGGCCTGTGTGATAAACTTCTAAATGAGAAAAGCTAGTACAATAGAAACATGATTCAGTTTCTTACCATTACCAGGAAAGTTGGTGTGTTATTGAGGTTTAGATATGAGGACTGTAAGAGCCATGTAGCTTAGGTGAGGTTACTCACACAGCAGAATCCAGAAGTTGGCAGAAACCGCATTCTACATTATGGAGACACTTGACTCAAGTTTATGGACAAGATCTCATCTTGTGCTGTTCATGAAGAAAAAACTTTGATGCTCATTGAACAGGCATGAGGAAGACAGGAGACTTAATCTAAATGAATGAATCATTGATATTTTAGGAAGAAGAAAAGAAAGAAGAAAATGGTGGAGAAGAAAATAAAGATAATGATAATGAAGAGAGAGAAGATGATGAAGGTCAAGGTGATGCAGGTTTTACAGCTGATGTAAGTATAGTCTAACTAATTACTTGTCAGTAATGTTAGTCAAATAATCTGATTTTGAAAATGCATCCAGTCTTTCGTGAAGGACAAAAATTTAGTTTAAAAAGTTAGTTCTTCACAATATTGGTTCCCTATAGCTGGAAATAAATCAAAATCAAGTGGGTGTTAATTGTGCTTGTTATTATTTGGCCACCATTTGATATTTTAACCCCATAAAATGCCAGATTGTGCCCTGTCCAAACTTTAAGCATCTTATATTTTATATATAAAATGTTGCCCAATCTGGCTAGAGAAATAAACTGTTAGAATTTTAAAGATTTTGATTTTATCATGATCTTCAATGACAGTATTACAATTGATTCTTCAGACAATTAACCCTGGGATCATTGAATTCTTACATATGTTTTGTTTGTTTCGTGGAGTAATCATGATTTGTTACTCAGGAATTTAAAAAAAATATTTGCCTGAAATAAGGAATATAGTCATAGATATTTTGCATTGCCATAAAATACAGCTTGATATCATTATAATCATGTTGTTTAAAATCTTATTGTTGATATAGAAAAAAAATATCCAAACTTTATTAATGTCAATCACAGGATGAGAAAATTGAAGAGGAAGAAGATAAAGGTATAGAAGAAGAGAAGAATGATAAAATGGACACCCAGGGTCAAACACAACATGATGATACTAATATAGAAAATAGTGATACAGCTCAGGACCAGGCTAGTCAAGCGGATAATGAACAACAAGAGGTTAGGTGTGACTCTCTCTCTCTCTCTCTTACATTCAAATTTTGAAATATTAAATATCATTGTAGACCTGCTATTTTAACAATGACTAGAAAAATACAACTATAACAAATCCTCTGACAGAATATATTACCCCTTACCCATTTAGGTCTATATTTGATGATATTTTGTAAATTATGTTTATAGAAAGTTGGAAGTGGAATGGCTGATACACAACAAGATGATGGACATGAAGGTGAACAGTCATCAGAAGTGACTCAAGGCTCTAATGAGAAAAAGAAGGAAATGAAAAGACAGCCTGGTAAATCAAGAGAAGATCGTAGTCTTGGATCTCCAGACCAGTCTTATCAAAGGTTAAAGACTACAGAAGAAACACATCCTGAAGATGAGGTAAAGATGCAGTGTTTCTTATCTCCATAGTAAATTCAGCAATTTATTTGTTTGTAAGACAGTTAGGTATCAGGTTTGAAACATATTCAATTAAAGACATTTCTGATGACATGATCAGTTCTTTTGATTATGCCTTCCCATAACACTTAACTTATCTTTCTTAGTATAGTGTTACAATAGATTTATAGGAGTAAAAGCTTGCAAACTGACTCTGCACCAACTCTAATGAAAAAATTATTGTCTTGAGTAATTTTCAGCACCAAGGAAAGATAATCTTGAATAACCTTGCATATTAATGTATATTTTGTCAACAGGAAGAAGAAAGTGGACAAGAGAAGAAAGAAGGGGAATTATATGAACACATCAAAGACTCTAAATCCCACCACGACGCTCAGACACTGGATGTTGCTAATGATGATACTGAGGAACAGATGATTCCCAATAAAGATCAGGAGGAAGTTAAAGATGATGATGATGAACCTATGGAGGATGTTAAACCTTTAGATGATGAAGTTGATAATAAAGAGGTTAGTTTTAATATGGTTGATGATTTATTTTCAATACTTGTAATTTCTGTAAATAGTGAACAGATCATGATAATGATTGAACCTCAAATTTGTTGAATCCACATACATGAAATATATGGAGCATCTAAATCCCAGATTTACATGAGTCAATCTATAGAAACTGATGTCAAATTAATTTGAAAGAATCAAATGAAAACTTAGCTCTGTCCTAGACAGTCACATGTAGTAGATTTTTGTAGATTCGTTCAATCAATATACTCTTTCTCTTTGAAGTGTTGAGCCATTTGGCTGGTTGTGTCATTGAAAGTGACATATTAAAAATATTGAAATACTTGGTCGGTTGGGTTGATTTTTGTGGATGAATGTTGTTAGGCCCCTTTACAATAGTTGACTATATGTGTGTCTAATTATTTGGTTTTTTCTTTTATTTAGCAAGAAGAAGAGATAGAAAAGAAAGAAGCTAATAAAGTGAAAGGTAAGAAATTAGCTAATGATAAAATGGAGGACATGAAGATAGACCAGGATGAAGAAATGGAAGAGAGAGAGAAAGTAGAAATAAGTGGTGAACGAATATTAACGATGACAGCCAATAGAGGTCCGACTTCTACTATACATACAGCAGTAGAACATCTTCATATGGATAATGGGGTATGGCTTGTTATAACTAAATAAAAAAAGAAGTATCGATACTTCTATTTCTAAAAAAAAAAACAAAAAAACAAAAGATCAATAATCTTTTATTTTCTCATATTTGGAAACTGTCTGTTGTAATGTTATTTCTAAATAAATATTATCAGCTACATAGACTCTCTTAAATGGGACACCAAGTTGATAAATCCTGTTGCAAAGTGTCATTAGTTTTCCGTTAAACACTTACACTGTAATTAAGATTATGTTTCTTTTCAGCCAAGTGAAATAGATGTAGAGAAAATTCGAGCTGATTTAGAAGAAAATGTTAATCTCTGGTCTCACCAGTCTTTAACAACACCTGAACAGGTAACAAGAAGTATTCAGTTTATCTTGCAATCATCCTTCAGAGAATACATATTGAATTTGAATTCTCTAGAAACTGTTCAGAACTCACCAATTGAGCATCCGGAATATATGGATATTTGAAATTTCTGTTGATCATCCATCATTGTCCATATCATATCTGCTATCAATTTTAGTTCACAATAGTTAACTGATCACTTAGATAATTAAAACAGGAAGACATAATTGAATTGATAATTTACAGTAAGTAATATATATCTTGTAGATGGTGGAAGCAAGTTCAGCTTGGCAAAGATATGAAGCTATAACATCAGGCCTGTCTCAAGAACTCTGTGAACAACTCAGATTAATACTAGAACCATCTCAAGCTACCCAATTAAAGTAAGTAATATCACCCTCAAAAAATAATCAAGTAAAAAGAAGTTTTTTGCATAATTTTTTAAAAATTTGACTTTTTCTGGTGAAAGCAATTTTTGCAGTTATTTATTTAAGTTTATTAACTAAGCAAAACTTTTAAAATGGACAAATGGTGTGGATGCCACAAATCATGGAATGTTGCTTCTAAACATTGCTTAGCTTTTAATACTGATTTATTTATTATTATAGAGGAGATTATAGAACTGGTAAAAGATTAAACATGAGAAAAGTAATACCGTATATAGCTAGTCAGTTTAGAAAAGATAAAATATGGTTAAGACGTAGTAAACCTAGTAAGAGACAGTATCAGATAATGTTAGCTATAGATGATTCTTCTAGTATGTTAGATAATCATTCTAAACAGGTACTTTAATTCTTACTTTTTATTTTACTGTCAAATAAGACAGAATAAGACATACCCAGTAATAGAATTTGCATTCTACAAAAATTGTGCTATAAATGGGTTATTTTAACTGTGCTTGAGATATCAACAAGAAAACAATAAACTTTCTTTAGTGTTTGCTGGTACCTTTTGTTGGAAACATGAGCCTTAAAGCATCTTAATCAATAGGTACGAATTGGGGTATATCTATTTGGAGTTTACATTGATTATAATTTTGATACAGGGAACCACATCTTGATCATGAATTTTAGGATATTTAATTTTGTACAGCAAACAAAATGGAATAATTTATATCCCTCTATTTAATGAATGTTTTTTTAATTTCAGTTAGCGTTTGAGTCTTTAGCTCTGATATCCAATGCTTTAACTTTACTAGAAGCTGGTGATTTAGCTGTAACAAGGTAAAGTTTAATTAGTATTTTTTCCTTACAATAACTTTGTTTTGTTATATTCTGAAATGGAAACATCTATAAGTATAATATGTAGAAATACTTAAATATTAAAATGAAGTTAATTTGCACACTCAGGCAGACTTAGTCATATAAGATGTGGTATCATTGGTATAGCAATTTTGTCATTACAGTTTTGGTGAAAGTGTAAAGGTACTCCACTCTTTTACTGATCAGTTTTCCAGTCAATCTGGTGCTAATATTCTACATCAATTTACCTTTGAACAGAAGAAAACTAAAATAGCACAGGTAATCTATGATAATTTCTTTTTGATCCATTAAGATTTAGAATAGTTGGCCTACTTGTTTTGGAAGATCTCATGGTTCACTAACAATGGTTATATTGTGCTTTGAATTTGCTCTTTAACAAGAAGCCATATTGATTCAGCACATTTCCAGTTGCTTTTGACACATCCTTTGTTACATGATCATGGCTGTAAAGTTATCTTCTGAGCGGCAATATTTATGGTTCGCTCTATAATGCTCAGTGGCTTACTGTTTCAGCTTCTACAACAAGCAACATCTTTAATGATAGATGGTAGAAGTAGACAACATGGTATAGTGGGGAATCCTGAAACCTCCCAGTTACTATTAATAGTATCAGATGGTAGAGGGCTATTCTCAGAAGGAATGGAAGCTGTGAAGTCTGCTGTCAGGAAAGCAAGAGAAGCCAATATATTTCTAGTCTTTGTAATAATTGATAATCCAGAAAACAAGGTTCGTTTCTTTCTTTATCATGATAATTTAAAAGAGCCCACATCAGCTCAAAAACAAAAAACTAGAAAGGGGTTAAGTTCCCAATAATTAAACCTGAATTTATGAGCATAACATACTCATAGGTCTAAAGTAAAACAAGTTTAATGTGCGAAGAACTTGACTAAACTTTTATTGAAAGATATTGACCAATTACAAAAGTATTTATATTGTGGATTCTATAAAGATTGTTAATATTGATGTTTTATAGGATTCCATATTAGATATTCGAGTTCCCATATTTAAAGGACCAGGAAAGGTAAATAATTTGTGATAAATTCCTATTCAGATAATCATTAAGACAAATAATGTAAGACAATGTATACTCACAATTCCAGGATATCTGATTGCTCTGTGGTTTATTTCATTTTTTGCTTTGCAAATGAAGATCAAACTTGGATTTTTTTCAACAAAATGCAAATAAAGAGATTAATCTTTTTCTTTGCAGTTACCAGAAATCAAGAGTTATATGGAACAGTTCCCATTTCCATTCTATATAATATTACGTGATATAAACTCTTTACCTATTACATTAAGTGATGCTTTAAGACAGTGGTTTGAATTAGTGACCGCTGCTGACCGATGATAATAAAGTTATTGAGGAATAATGAAGTCATTTTGTGACAATCTGTGTCGGCTGACGGCTACTGAATTTGAATTTGTCATTGTGTCCTAAGAATTTCATATTATAAAGGGAGGTAACTACATTTATTGATGTCATTTTGTGATGAAATGTTGTCTGTAGCCAATAAACTGGCAGCTGCTAACTGATGGTTATATAATTATTAAAAAATTTCATTGGCCAATATAATAAACTGTTGTCTGTAGACAGCTGCTGAAAAATTTAATTCTATTTAATACTCTCCGAAGAATCGACAGAGAGGTTTCCGCGGAGAGCAAAAAGAATACACCCATTGTGGATAAAGATTTTCATTGGCTAAAGGGAGATAACTGTGTTTATTAATGTCATTTTGAGATGAACTGTTGTCTGTAGCCCTAAGTTGTAAATTTGTTTCTGAATAATTCTAAAAAAGAACTGTTATTG